CTGCTGTTTTCATTTTAATGACTTATATTTTATTGCAAACAGCCGTGCAGCAATTTAATAAGTGTACTAGCAGATTTTATTAGAATTTAATAACTAATGGAAATGACAGTAGAAATGTTAGAGCTATTACTTAACAATAGAAATCCCTACAGTGAATTCTCAATCAGTTCAGATAATCTCCTGATATATGAAAATCAGTACTCTTTCATGAGCTGACAGAAGCCTTCTAACAAAAGCTGCGAGTGCATTCAAATTAAATTTGAAGAGGTGGACTAAAGTTATACCTGTAGATTTAATCTCCAGTGTAGGAGAGACATAGACATGCTGGATCAGATCCAGGAAAAGACCTAGAAGGTTAATGAATTGAAGCATCTGTTGTATGAGGAGAGGCTGAGAGAGCTGAGAGTATTTAGCCTGGAGGAAAGAAGGCTTAGAGGGATCTTATCAATATGTACAAATTCCAAGTGGGGTTGATAAAAAAGATTAATTCAGTGACAGGACAGGAGGCAGTGGGTACAAACTGAAGTACAAAAAGTTCCATTTAAAGATTAGAAAAGTCTTTTTTACTGTGAGGGTGGTCAGCACCTGAACAGGTAGCTCAGAAGTCACCATCCTTGGAGATATTCAGGACCCAACTGAACATGGTTCTGGGTAACCTGCTTTAGTTGACCCTGCTCTGAGGAAAGATGATTGAACTAGATGATCTTCAGAGGTCCCTTCTGATCTCAATGATCATTTAGTTTATTCCATATAAGTTATCTCTGCATTTAACTAATTTTATTCTGTAATGATATATTTGCATTTTATATTTCACCCTCCTATGGATGATTGTATTCTTTTTTGAAGTAGGAAGTCCAAAACTAGACATAATATTTCTACCCATTAAGTGTCAGGCTACTGTTTTATCTGTGACATCACTGTTTATAGCCTAGGATTAGATTCGCCATTTAATTTAGTATTTTTATTTATTTTTAACTGTTTAGTCAGATACTCTCTATCTTTTATTTTACAACTTTTAAGATTTTTTTTTTCTTGAGGGGTAAAAATTATTAAAATGGAGAAATAAACGTGAAAAAAATAGTGAAGGAAAACAGTAAAAAAATCCTTTAATTAGTCCACCAGCATCAGATACAGAATGGATAGTCCTAAGTATTGTATTATGTATTGCTTTTATTGAAATGCATCATACTTCTTTCTCTAGTGTGTCACCAGATTTTTGAATTTCAGTCCTGTTGTCTAAAGCACTTACAGCTGTTTCATTTGTGGTATTTCTATGTTATTGTTCAGGTCATGAATAAGCAATGATATAATAAGAAAAATGTACTTAATGAAAGCTCAAGGACTGAATGTTTTTGCTAGTCATGGCCTGTTCCTGGCTACTGGTCTTCATATCAGGAGCATATGGCAAAAGTTCCAGGACAAATACTCAGTTTATCTTTGCTGAAGGATATTCACCAGGTGTATCCCCCTGTTTTCTGAATATATGTATCTATTTTTTATATTTCATAGGTGAATCTTCTCAATTTTCCCCCTAGTCAACTTGGGAATCAATGTTTTATATCTGCCTTCCAGTATTGTGAGCTATATAAATAAGTCTCTGCAATACCACTTCAAGCATTAGTTGATTATGTACTAAGGTTTTAATTTCTTCCTGTTAATTTCCTCTATGTCTTGTAAAGTTTAGACACACCTATGTGTTCAGAAGATTGACAGCTATGTCTGGACACACCTATGTGTTCAGAAGATTGACAGCTGTTTTCTTTGTTCTATTATTTATCTCAGAGCCTTCTCCCAGTTTTGGGGCATTTGTCCATGTCACTGCACACATACTTATGGAGTTATTATTCTATGTCCCTGCTGATCCCTGTTTAAAACTGCTCTCTGGAATAATTCTTCCCTGTACAAGATGGACCTACCTTTGTTCAGTTGTCCTCTGTGCCAGAACACCACCTTGTGGAAAAGCAAAGCAGAGCTTCATCTTTGCTTGTTTAGAAAGACTGAAAAGACCTTAGCATCCAGATTCTTCCCGCTTACTTTTTGGTCCTTTCAGTTACTTTTGAGTAGCTCTGGGTAATATTTCCTAGTGCTATTAAGGTCCATGTGAATGGGCTACATGGAATAAAAATCAGAAGGTGGAAGGAACCTCATGACCTTTACTAGAAGTGGTGAAGCAGTAAAAGAGATGTAAAAAGTGTTTTTGTTTAATTTGATTATGTTTATGGTTGTGCTAAGATTGTACTGCTCTAATTAAGGCTTACTAGGATTTTCTATAATGAACTTAGTTTTATTGATTTCTGAGCTTACAATGTCTATGTAAAATTCTGTCATATTTTGGCATGTAGCTGTGTTTTTATGTTGCTGTTTTAGGTGATTTTTCCCATTTCTGGACTGACACTGTTGTGTAGGGACAATGGCTATAGACGGACTGTGACTCTGTCAGTCAAGTGCTACCCACAGTTCACAAAGTTGGCTATGGGCATCTTCCCCATTCCCATTTCACTATTCCTTTCCTGTTCAATTTTACAGCTATTTTTGTTGGCAACATTTTCCAATTCCATGTTCTATAACATATTACCTAGTTCAGACTCAAAAGAAGGCGTCATTGGTCATATGTTCCATATGGTTGAGGCAAAGATAAGCTAAAGAAATGTGCACATTTTCTTGTAATTGGGTTCCTGTCTCTCTCCCTAAAAATAAGACATCTCCCTTCTATTCTAAAATCCTTATGTTTTGTTTTCCTTCTTTTTTTTTTTTTTTTTTAAATACTCTTTGGCTGCATTCTGTTTTGAGGGAGGCAATTTTTTTGTGGTTTTATATGCTTTTTGTTCTCCTTTGGCAAGGCTTGATGCATGGAAAAAACAAATTTTCCAGGCTCTTACCCTTTTATGTCAACTATTTCCTTTTTGCTATTTCAAACATAGTGCTTTGGAAGTCATTATATTTTAACAGAGCCACTATGTAATTCAGTAAGCAGTCACCTCTAAGTAGCTACCATAATGACTTTCTATACTTTGATACATAAAAATACTTCATATAATACAGATTAGTCAATATTTTTTTTCTGAAACAAAATTATTTAACGGACATGTTTAGCGTTTAATGTAAGTATTTCTGTAAGGTTCACTTTTTTTGGATTCCCTTAAAATACAGAAACTATTTTTCTTTTTTATTTATGTTTTCTATTTATTATCTGTAGACCATTTAATACTACACCTGAAGGTGTAAAAATGTCTCCAAGTTGGTCTCGTGCTTGCAGGTGGCAGTGAGCCTGGCACAGAATGTGACTGGTGGCTCAGGTGACTTCTTTATCTGTGTTTCAAGTGATGCCCAAATATTCATCTCTTATGCTCAGAAGATTTCCCAAGAAAGCAGGGAATCTCTTTTTTCTTCCTGAAGTGTATCTCCACCATCATAGAAGAATGTCCTAACAGCTAGTTACTGAGTATTGAATCATAGTTACAGGCAAGATTAAGGTCAAAAGATACTTCTTTACTCCTCTGATTCAATGTGGGCCACAGAATGAAAAAAAATGCTAAAATGTACTCTTGTCGTGTCTTTTTTTGTTTCTGAATTGTGTCCAGAGGTTATGCACAGTAAAATGCATAAATAGTACACAGGAGCCTCAGCCTAAGTATTCTGCCTCCCTTTTACTTGTTTGTTATCTGAGCTTCAGCAATGCAGTGTAAGAGAAATTATTAGTTATGCCGAGGAGCAAGATGGTCAGAATACAGTTTGTGAGGTGAATAAGAAACTGACTGAGGAGGGAATAAGAGGTAATATTGAAAGCAGATTTATTAGACCACAGAGGTGCTGTTGGTGGAGTTTCTCAAGTCTTTTAAAAAAATACGTTTTTTCTTTAGCACTTACACATTTATATATATATATATATAATATATGTTTTTGTTAGAATAAGGTAATCTTGTTAGTCCAAATGTTCTCATGAAAAAATATCAAGGTCGTAACATCTGTTGATGACAGAAAGACAGGAGACATCAGTGCCACACTGATGGCACACAGGAGGAACTGAGTGACCTTGAAGACGGGAGCAGTCAATGTGCTGTAGATGAAATTCAAAGCAAAGCAAGATTCTTCTGGACTCAGAGCCAGGATGTTTACTCTAAGCTGTTTGTTCATCAGCTTGAAGGGTATAAGGATTTGTCTGCCTTAAGTTTCCACTACATGGCCCCTGTAATAGTCATCCCATACATTGTTCTTAATGTTGTGTTCAAGAGCAGTGAATTCAAGTTGGGACTGGCTAGTGGACAGGAAGGATATAGAGAAAATCAGAGGGTGAGAAACCTGGGCTAAGGCTCAAAGAGATTTTATTACTCAAATATCACAGATGGAGAATAAAAATCAATACTTGACTGCTTTTCTGCAATATCCCTTCCAAATTTCTGTCCCATACAAAAGCCAAGGACTGCAGGCATCCCCTGAACGACTGTGTGAATGGCTACTGCACATGTTGGAGCTATGTAAATTGTTCTGTAAAGACAGATGCAGTTGGTTGATTTCAACAAAAGTTTTGCCATGGTAGGAATTTACAGGATTTGGCCTAGAAATTAAACATTTTTGCCACCAAATTTTATTTTTTGATGCTCTAAATTAAGCTTTGGTTCACATAATCTATTTTAGCTCCATTTTTGTTGTTCCCCACCCCCCATCACAACTCATAGCACAGCTGTGGCATTTGTCTTGTTACAAGAAGGATCTGATAATCATGAAGTAACCGAGATTTATGCCTGTAATGCTGAAGTGGTACCATATTTGTGAAAATAAAAAATAAAAATAATTAAAAAAAGAGAAACAGTATGCAGCAGATGTGAAGGTTTTACCTTCACATTTAAGTAGGTTTATACTGTCAGGGAGTGTGGGCTTAGCAAAACCTGACAGTGTTTCAAATTACCAGATGTTCCACATGATCAAATAGATACTATACAGCTGTTTCCCATTCTTTTTACTGGGCTCAGATAAATACACAGTAAATGCTCTGAAATATGTTTATTGTATTTTGGCTAGAGTTGTGGCTGCTGCTGCAGAGATCTTGCTTTCATCTATGGACACTGAGAATGTGGGGGGAAACCAAAGGTGCTGTGGGAACGCTTATTTTCTGTTACTTTGAGGAGAAATTAGTGGATATTTGGTTGAAACAACCCTGATGATACTAGCTAGGGAGGGATGAAAAATGGGATGATGGGAGATTAGTGGCCCTATCTGCACACTGCAGAAGTGACTTTTGATCTCTAGGCACTATCCCCCTCGGCTGACAGTGTTGTCCTTCCCATGCAAGTTTAACTTTCAGGGGAGGTGGTGGGTGCAGCAGAAGCAGCCATCCCACAGGTAGCTCAAGCTTATCCCAGCATGAGCTTTCAACAAGAATGGAGACACTCGGTTGGATTTTTTATTCAGTGTAATACAGAAAACAGGGCATCTCCAGAGCTCCTGGTGGGACTGCCTGCATCCCTCCTGTCTACTCATGCAGGTGCTGGCAGCATGCCCCAAGCTGGCCATTTGATTTGTTTTTTAAAGACACATAGCTTTTTTTGGGGTCAGTCTGAGTAACTGCTCTGAACTGTTTCAGGACAGAAAGGCCCAGGTTATGTTAACTTCCACACCTGTCAGCTTTATTCAATAACAGAGCAGCTAAGTAATAAAAAAAGATGTTTCATTTCCCTTCACCTGCTTTTCTGCTCTTGTTTCTCCTTCCCTCCCTCAAGCTCCCCATGCTCTCCTTAGCTCTTTGACCTTATTGCTGCCTTCCTTCCCTCCTTTTGCCGTCGGCCTCCTGCCTTTCCAGATCTTCCCTTACACCTGGAAAATTCTTCTTCGTGTTTACCAGGGGCCTTCCTTGTTCTTCTTTAAATCCTTTAAAACCTTAATCTTCAAGGCAGAGGAATTACTTTCATCTTTCATTAATAATCTCTTTAACATTTCTTGACTGCTCTGTTCTTTTCAGATTTATAGCCTGGTCTTGCAAACGTTTACAGAGAAGTAGCTGTTTGGTTAAATTGAGAACATTCAGATAGAGGTTTGGAGGACTGGATTGTTCATTGGGAAGGTTTTTGTAATGGAAATATTTCTTATTCTGTAAAATACAATGTTTAGTTATGGTTTTATATACATTTTTATAATAAACATTTGTGGCCTTAGAGGAGCAGTGATAACTTCTGCATGCGATAACTTCTGCTTTTAACTTTTATTCCCAAACTCAAGATGTGGAACATGTTCTCATAGAATTTTAAAGCTCATGAGCAAATTTACTGTTGATCATTTGACTTTATACCCAGAATCATAGAAGAGGACATGTACGTGGTGTACCTTTTATCTTAGTGACCCTTCATTGTTTTGTGTTTCAGTATAGATTTGTGTTTCAGGAATCTCAAGCTTCTGGACTGCCTGAGTACATAAAGATTGTAGAAGTTGGGCCAAGAGATGGATTACAAAATGAAAAGGTAAGTTTTCTCTTTTCTGGAAATGTGTTTTGACATGCACATCAGCATTATTTTCATTGTGTAAAAGACACATATCCTGCTAATCGTGTCTTTTCTATTTTGTACTATAAATGCATTTACTGATGTGAGTGTTAATAACTGTCTTGTATATTAGAATAAAAGCACATTAATATTTAGTCAGATGTTAAGACATAAGTTCTCGCTATACTTAGTTAACTAGCCTTTCTGTTACTCTGCTGCTGTTTTTCTCTATTTGTAGTTGTATTGTCAATCAGTCACATTCTGTCATGACAGAACTGATAAATGCCATAAAATATTGCCTATCTTAATGATGTGTTTGTGCTACATGTGCTACTCTACTAGGGTTAGTACAGTAGGTTTTGTCACAGTTACTGTGAACAGGCATGGAAAAAAGGAGAAATGGTAAGGAAGCATAGAAAAAGATTGAAAGAGACTATGTAAAATAGGGTACATGTGTCAAAACAAGTATCTCTTTCCACAAACAGGAGGATAAGCTTATGTATTTCATTGTTACTGACACCAAAGGTGTTAATAGTATAAACAGAATAGGAAGTTCACTCTGCTTCAGCTGTGGAGATTTTTTTTTTCCATTTTTCTCTGATTGTACTATTCTGTGTTACTGTTTCCTTTGTCACTTTTTGCTAGGTTTGTGTTTGTTTAATATTAATTAATGAGGCTACTGCAAGTGCTTTCTATTTCTTTTGTGCTGGACAAAAAATGGAGTAGGGTCATGTACACTCCCTAATGGTTTTCTTGTGCAGTAGCTTCCTACTGTTGTTAAGCTGTATAGTTATGGTACAGTGTATGAGTACAGGTGTTTTTTGTGTTTTGTTGTTGGTTTTTTTTTTTTTTTTCTGTTTTAAAAGTATAGATTATGTACTAAGAACATCTCACTTACAAAAGTTTCTTACTTCATGAAGTTAGTTTACTATATATGCTATACTATGGTATACCTCTGTGTCCATAGGTGATAGTCCCAACTGATATCAAAATTGAGTTAATTAACCGGCTTTCCAGAACAGGGCTGCCTGCAATAGAAGCAACCAGTTTTGTTTCATCCAAATGGGTCCCTCAGGTATGTAAATTCATCACCATTCAGAATTAGTTCAATCTAAGTGCCATTTCATGCAGTGCAGGTTTCCAGTAGTATAGCCTGTATAATTGTGCAAGAAGATGGAACAAAAACAGTATGTTGTTTATTCATAAAATCAGATATTATTGTGAGACACTGCTTTTCAAGACTTACACTTTTTTTCAGGTCAGCTGGAGTAATTGTTAAAAAGTAGTCAAAACTGAGAAAAATCCAGCAAGCTGTGCAGAAAGTTGCTGAATTCCTAACTCCAGAAGGGAAGTGTAAGCCAAACATGGTAACAAGGAGAGCAGAAGTTGTAGCCTTTATGGCCAAAGGACTGTCCAGCAGTCCATGAGAACAGAGCAAGCCTGGTGAGGGTAGCCAGGGCAGCCAAGAGTACTCAGGATCAGGTGAGTCCACAGGGATGCAGCAGGTCCAGGGGCAAACTGGGAAGTCAACTCTGTGAGACAGTCAGGATCCACTCAGGAAGGTATGTGGTAAACACAGGCTTGGCTGCAGCTGTGCAGCTGCAGTTTGTCAGGCAAGGAGGAAGCAGGAGAGTGTCCCAGCTTACAAAGGGAAGACACATTAAGACATTTTAACAGAGCTGTATGGGGAGCTCTGCTGATCTGCTTTCCATTCTTTTATTGGTGAGCTTCAAGGCTTCTGATTGAGGCTTCTTAATTTGCTCTCTTCTTATCAATCGGCTGGCCTTGAGCATAGGCAGCTAAACTCTAAGAAGGGAAGCACTATGGACCCTGACCAACAGAAATGTTAGGAGTATAATTTACCATGGTTACTACATAGGGTGTGAGAAATCTTAAATATTGTCATCACTTTCCAGACATAAATAATTTAGCACATGATTCCCTATTTCCCACTTGCAGAACAAGGGTAGGAATTTGAATGAGTATGTGTGTGCAAGGGACAGCAGTAAATGGGGAGTGAGAGAACTGGGTCACAAGATGCTGAGTTTGGAAAAGACATGTGGGGACAATGTATCAACCCTCTGAGCAAAGGGCAGCTGGGATTCAGAATGTTGAGTGTAGACATAGTGATAAAGATTTGAGGATATGAAGCTGTCAGGATGCAGAGTACTTAGCTTGAGTATCGAGTTGAACACTAGTGGGGTGGATCTCTGCGGGACAGCCATCGTGAAGGGGACTTGCTGTGGAAACAACATTAGTTCAGAGCTCTAGAATCAGAGAATAAAAACCTGAGTGCACAGGACTTGTGCAAACTGGCAGAACTTCTCTACAGAGCCCCCTAGTGCCAAACCAGGGGAGTAAACTCCCCAGGCCTAAGAGTTGTGTGGATTGTCATGGTAACTTTACTCTTCCCTGAAGCCAAAGACCATATTTTATCTGCTGCACTTTGTAAATTTCCTCTGTGCAGTCCTCCTTTTCCAAACACATACACTGAGATCCTATGGATTCTAGTTAAGGAGAAGTGTTGCAGATTCTATCCTGATTTTGAGCTTGCTCACAAAGAAGCAAAGACTTTCTGCAGCTAATAATATAGAGAAAATTCTGTACAGTGTTATTGTTGTCTTGTGGAATAGAGACAAAGAAAGCTCGTACATTTCATTTTCTCCTTATTTGTGTATATATTTAATTGTAATTAAAGAATTGCGATGGTGATACGTTACTAATATTTAATATTGTTCCTACCTCTTTCTACTCTTCTGAGAACTAATAGTCATCAGTGTAAAAAGAAAGGTAGCATACCTTTCTTCTTTTCTCCTAAATTAAATTCCATTTTCCACATTTGGGAGTATGTTTGGAAGATCTAAATTTGGGACTTCAGTGTATGTAATAGTATTTAGGCATGTTAGTTATTTTGCAGATCTGGCACTCTGAGCAGCCATAATGCCTTTTGATGAATTGTAATAATTTGATTACTATTTTTCCAAAATGATTTTTTACATTTGGTACCATTCAGAAGAAATCTCAGCCTTTCTGAAATAAACAGCAATTCTAAATCAGTATTAGGGGCTGCGAGACTTTAATTTGAGATTTAACACTGCAAGTTCAGGCCTAGTTCTGAAGTATACTATGTAGCTGCTGGTTTTGCAGATTTAATAATTCCCCACAAGTAAGGAAATAAGTCAATACTTGTCTATATAATTTAAACAAATTTTCAAGAAATTATGAACTTGTTTGCTCCGAAGCATTTGGGTACTTACATGTTTAGTAAGGACTACACAAGTTATTTACCAAGTAAAACTTGATATTAGTTTATTTGAGAAAATACTTCATTTTTTAACATAGTTACACATCTTTTGTCAAAATGCATATAAAGTTTGTCCTTTTTAAACCAAAAATGCATCCTGGGCCTGGACTGTATTCTAGGCTTTCCTCTGAGAAACAAAAGCTTGGCATGATAATACTTCTTATTCATAAGTTAGCTGAGCAAACCGGCTGTACAGCACTCTTTAAGAGACTACTTGGATATATTTCAGCATTCCTGGGATCACCAGGGAAGGGCCTAAAGGAAGGATAATAGTAAAAGGGGAAGGGAACAGCAACAATGCAGAATTTCTTTGGTGTTAACACAGGGGCAATGAGTTTTCAGGTTGTGTCCATTAGAAGTAGCTTGGGTAAGTTTTTCCAAGTGCCATCAAGCTTTGGCAGTTACAGCAATAGAGAATGATGTAGGGATTATGAAAAATTAGAAGGAAAAATCCAAAGAAAAGGTGGGTTTCTTAATTTATTTTAAAATTATTTCCTTTCCCTGTGAGCCATTGGGAGTACCAAACTTAGCACAGGTTTGTCAGTTTTGGAAACAATTAACAACCCTTTCTTATTTTAAATTCACATCTGAATACTTTATTATAATGGCTTAATTTATGTTTAAAATTTTTTTTTGTTTTAAAGATAAGATTGTGTTGCTTTGATAGGGAGAGCAATCTTGACTTTGTCTTTTCTCCTTTCTTTTTTTCTTTTTATAGGTTATGGGAATACAATTCAAAATGATGTTTATGTAACTCATTCACTTATTTCTTCTGCTAGTATTTTAAAGCTCTTTTATAGTTTCCCATCCACTGTTTTTTTTGGCAGAGATTTTTTTACTGAAAAAAGCTAAAAGAAAAAGTTCCACAGTAGCAAGGTGCCATATAAAACAGGATCCCACACCTATAACCTAAATGGCCAAAAATTATAAATACCTACCATTAGAAAGCTTATTTTAAAATAAATTTTTAAAATAAATATTTTATTACCATTTAAAATCTTATAACATGCAATATGTGTTAAAATGGGATTTTACTTACAGGAAAAATAGTAAAGGGACAAATGCAATACATGTAATATTATTTGGACCTGGCAACTTTATACTACTTGAAAAATTTGTCATTTTGTTTTTTAACTATGTTTTATGCAGGCTATAGTTTTAGAGTGTGGAATTAGTTCCAGATTTGCCATTTAATTAATAATTTGGTTTCAAACAGTCTTCTTTGCCCTAAGAAATGTAAATACTATTTATGTTAAATTAAGGTATGAAAGATTGTTCTAAAAAAAAAAATGAAGGCATTTCCAAATGTTTTTTTGTGAGGTTACCAGAAATGTTAAGCAGTCACACTGATTTTGTTCATGTAGAAGCCACAGCAAAAAGTTGCTTTGTGACATCACTTGTTTCCTGATGCGAAATGCGTTGTGTCTGGCTACCTATATGTGACATACCATATGTTAACTTCTTTATAGATAAGTTTGGCTTACATTTGAGGAGCTATACATGCATTTTTCTGATATTTTTAACCTATTTGTTTTCATAGTGGGAAATAAGTTACAGGAATATTCCAGGTTGCCAGTAGTGTTGTCACTTATTAACCCAGTTTAATTTAATAACACATATTTAGAGTTGTGGTACTGCAAAACTATCAATAAAGTATCCATTGAAAATAATGAGTAATGAAAGCTTTGCAGTTCATGTCTTTTTATGTGGTACTCCTCAAATGACTTTTCATCAGTATAGAAAGAATCAAAAATCCAAATTAATATTGTTTACTTGGAAGATTTGCTTTTATGAGACCTAGTTTCAAAAGCATTTAAATACACTATACAATTTTTAAGGCTCAAAATTTCTAAGACATGAAATGCGAGGGATATGTTTTATTAACTACATGCACACCATTAAAAAATAAGCTAATTTTTCCTCCACTTCTTTAATGAAAATGTGCTTGTGAAAATAATCTGCAGTTTATTACATGAATAAGTCTTTGATTCATCTTCTTGTTTAGTACATGGAGTATATTTAATCTTGAGTAAGAAAAGTGTTGAGTATCTTAAAAAGGCAGAGTTTATTTTGTGAGGAGACAAAGGAAAGAAATGTTTGAATAAAGTAATGGTCGTTGATCTTTGCTATAATAAGGAAGTCATTTCCTTCTTTTGAAATAAAATCCGAAATATATTAAAATGTACACACTGGATTTTTCTGTTTTTTAAGGACAGATACATGATTAGTCTTTTCAAATATGCTGATTACAATGTTGAGTAATTCAGAGTCAATTATGCTTAAGATTGTGAAGTCACATTTATCAGAGTGCTCATGGTTTCAAGATTTGGGTTGTTTTAATATGTTGCTTACTCTGTTAATTCCACATATTGAGTCTACTGAGATAAGTTTAAAGTTACAGTAATAGATGATGATCAACATGATCACAAATCTCAATTTATGACAGAAATTATGTATTTACGGATATACACAAAAAGAAACACTGTACAAATCTTACCCCCAATTCTATATTCAGGTAGAAATGGAAAGCTTGCAACTCAAATACTGAAATGTTAAGAAATTAAAAAATTGAGTGTTTGTATATCATCAATTTAACCCCTTTGTTGTCACGCTTTCTATGAGCTATATACCTGATGAAGGCAAAAACATAGTCTAAGCCAATTTTTACTTAGCTATATAAGATCAGAGAGTAACCACTGATCAATACAAATTTATTGTGTATTTTAGATGGCAGATCATAAAGAAGTAATGAAGGGCATTGAGCGGCATCCTGGAGTCCAATATCCTGTTCTCACACCTAATCTTCAAGGTTTTCATTCTGCTGTAAGTGTCTTCCTAGAAGATGTCCACAATTACCTCCTTCATGTTTCAGATGCCTTCAGTTCAGTACCATAAACTAGCTATTTAATGTCACATAACCTGTCCTGTTAAAACTAAGCTATAGTCTTTTTTAATTAAAAACTCTCAATTTTTGTTATGAAAAATAGCTAAATTCACAGAGTGATGTTAAGCTCTATATATTAATATTTTAATGGAAGTATTGATCACACAGTCTTTTCAAATTCCTATAAATGATGCTTGTGTATAAGGAGAAAGACAGCAGTCCTTTGACTTGTTGGCCCAAGAAAAGTTTCTGAAGAGTGTCTTATTACTGGAAAATAGTGAAGAAGAATGCAGAAAGAACCAAATAAATTAGAAGGCTTTATAGGAGAGCATTAGATTTCTTAAACTCTGCATTTCATTTTTTGGGGTTGTTTGAAAGCTTAAATTGTTACAGTTCATATAAAATTATGGACTTGAAGTGCATAGAATTGCAAACATGGAGCAGTTCAGTCTTCATACAATATGCACAACAATTGACAATAAAATCTTTACACTTCTTGGTTTTCTGAACATTTTTAATGCTGGTGTGCTTTTGTCTTGTTATAGGACAAGCCATATTTGGAAAGCATACTGCTTGATGGACATTTGTGGTGTAGTCTGTCATTCAGTTTCTATACTGTATATGAAATATCTGTTAAAAGAGAATCCTGTACATTGGGGAGGGAGTTTTTATAAGGGCATGGAGTGATAGGATAGGGGGTATGGTTTTAAATCTGCTATATCTCTATACCGCATTTAGTGATACAATTGAAAAATGCGAAAATACTTGTAGGTTGTTGCTGAATTCTTTCTTGAGGCTATTTTTTCCCCCCCTCCATTTCAAAGGATACTTATTCCTGTGAGGGTTGCTGAAGCTTAGATATTATTCTGCACAAGCAGAGAGAAGAGGGAAAGGCTCCATTCTTTTTCACGGAACAAGAGTATATTTCTCACTGGATAGTGGAAATTAATTAATTAGCTATTTTTCTAAGCTTAAATGTTTTCTTCTTCTACAATTTGACTTTCAACATTCTAATTTATTTACTGAGTACTGAGGGATGTGAGTACAAGCTCAGGCTAGTTGCCCCTTCAGTGGAGTCACCACATTTACACATTTTCTAGACTGGTGTTTGTTCTGAGACTTTTTCTCAGCAGACTCTCACATATTCATTTTCTACATCATCCATATCGACTATGACATCAAGAGCAACGTAGCCTTTGATGCTAGAGCTGGCTCTAACAGGTAAATCCCTGTTGGTTATTCTTGCTGCTCTGGCCACATGCACACACAGAGCTTTCCAAAGCATGAGAATGACTTCCTGGCATTCATGAGAAACAGTCTTTGTGCAGAGGGTGGATATTTCAGAGTTGTTATATGATCTCTTCCTTTTCTGAAAAATAAATATAAGTATCAATCATTGTTATTTTCATAGTTGGTTTATAAGGTTTCCAACATCTTAATACTGTTATCATTTATCACTTTAAAAATTGCTTACCTAATTGTGAAAAAGAGGAAGTAAATATGGCATGGTGAATTAAATCAAAGTTTGATTCAATCTATTTTCATGTAATGGATTTTAAAGAAATTGGAATGAAACTTATATTTTAGATATGGATACTATACTTACAATGTGCTTTTAAATTCTAGAGTGGCATAAGGAATTAAATTCTTAATCTAATCTTTTAATATAGTATTATGATTCGGTTTTATTGACATTTATTTTTCAGATTGCAGCAGGGGCTACAGAAGTGTCAGTATTTGGTGCAGCATCTGAATCCTTTAGCAAAATGAATATTAATTGTTCAATTGAAGAAAGTATGGAAAAATTTGAAGAAATCATTAAATCTGCAAGGATTATGAATATTCCAGTGCGTGGGTAAATATGAAGATTCTTAAGTAATACAAAGTTATTTGAGTCACAGGGTTTATCTGTATGGTATATAATATCTATATACATTTTTACATTTTAGCTTAGTTTACAAATAGTCTTTATTGTGATTTTTAAGAAAAAGTTGGATGTATTTAGAAATTTTGCTTTATGTTTTGTATCTGCTTAATGGTGACTAATGTTCTCTGAAAACTGAAAAAAAAATAGCTGAGTGCAATAAACATAGCCATTTTATTATACAAATCTGTTTTTACCATCACAGATGACAGAATAAAGTTTATTGTGTTGCTGAGAACTAATAACACTGTTGTCTGCACTTTAAAAATACTCTGCATGCTGTTATTATGTCACTTCATGCACTGTAGAATCAAGATATAAAAGTGATAGACCAAATTTACTTCTAAGAAAAAAAATATTCTCAATGTAAGTTATTCTGAAAACTCCAGGTGTTCAAGTATTTGGAGTCTCTAGTGCATGAAACTCTGGAATTGTCCAGTATTTATCTTTCTCTGGAGTACCTTCTCTTACGATTGAAATAATCCTGAATGGTACTCATCCTTGAACAGCCTTTCTTTTTCATTTCCTTTTTCTTTTTCATTACACAAAGCTCTTATCTCAGATTACTTGTGGAAGTCCTTGTGAATGTAAAAAGGCTTACATAGGTCCAAGGAGAAGCTCAACAGAGGTATATACTAAGACAAGAGATTAAGTGCTTGAAAACCTGTCTGGGAATAAATACTAGGTTCTCTCTTTCCTTCAGAAGCAGTGGTTTGGTAATTCTCCTACTCAATGTTTCCATGGTAGTATGGTATTTGCTTTGAAAAAGGAAGAGCTGACTTGTATCTTAGCCTCAAAGGGTTACAGGATAACAGAATGGTTTAGGTTGAGAGGGAACATTGAAGATCAACTTGTCCAACCCAAAGATTTTTACACACGCACACATCCAACCAAGGGTAGCTTGTAAATTCATGGGTCCCCATTCCCTAGCTTGATTATATGTTTCAGAAAATCATGGAATAGAGAGGTAAAGAACTTTCACTGTATTGAGAAACAATAACTTGTGGGAGTGTTTGAGTACTCTGCCTAGCTCCTAATCTGTCAGGTAGAGTCAGGGTTTGCCTTCCTGAGCAATTTTTCTTATAAGAGGTCTGTTTCTTGATAGGTCTTTACCACCACTGTTTCTGAAACTAGATTCTGAGCTAAGATCAAATCTAGTAATTTGGGTTCTCCAGGAAGATTAAGCTCTAGGATGTCTGAATTTTATGTCCCAGATTGGTGTGGATAAGGGAGTAGACAGTCAATCCAGAAAAGACAGCATGTGTATGGCAACAAATCTTATGCACTGGTGAACATTTTTACACTAAGCTTTTGATTTCTGGTTTTCTCAGATGTGTAGGCATGTCAGGCAATATTTTTTGTTTCATATTCCTGTATTTGACTAAGAAAATGGTGTAATAGAGACAACAATCAAGGGAATCCTCAAATCTTATTCTCTGTATGTTTTTAGAAAGCTCTGGGTGTCAACAAATAGACTTTGCAAACTGTCCAAAAGATGTAAACTGCAGGTGAAGAAGAAGCCCCTGTAGTGTAGTCTCATGTGGGAGCTTCAAATGTCAACTTACCTTCTGTGCACTATTTTCTCATGTTTAAGAAACTGGCAACCTACTGCTTCTTTTTCCACATATTGTATGTCTAAGGCATTTGTAATACTCCAGTAGCAGTTATTCTGGCACTCATACAGTGATGTGATGGAAATTAATGTTCCCATGACAGGATTCTACAACAGTCTCATACATGTATTGTCTTCTAGCTGATGAACTGTGTGTGGTGTGTTTTTCTACACACAGCAGAAAAAAAAGGTGAAAGCAGCAGGATGGGAAAGCACACAGAGAGAGGAAGAAATAAGAGGCAGAAAATAGTCAACAGAAGCAGAGCACAAAAAAAAAAAAAAAAAAAAAAAAAAAAAAAAAAAAAAAAAAAAAAAAAAGAAATAAAATAGTAATTAAGACTAAAAGGAAGGAGAACAAAGCAAGGAGATACAAAGAGAGGAGTATCAAGATCCAGGTAATGAAGCAAACAATTAAAAACAGCAGTACAGAGCTGAAGAGGTATGACATAATTTAATTCAGAGAAAATACAACCAGATTATGATTTAGAAGTGCTTACTTCATGCATCCAGTTCAAAGACCTGTAATTTCATTGCAAACCTAGGCAAACTTCACACAGTATATGCAGAACAATTTTATTGAGTCTGTCATGCCAGGTGCAGTATGTTACCCAGTGCTTCAACCCTGAACTGCTTAATATCAGATATGCTACAAAGTGAACAGATTCAAAGTTGTCAATGAAAATTATGTAAGTTCACTCCAGCTTTAAGTTTTGAGCATGCTAAAAGATAAAAGAGAACTAGCTAACATTATCTGTTTGGACTTTGAGCACACTTCTGAAAAGTCCCTTCCAGGGAGATTTTGAGGAGGCAAAAATGTAATTAATGAAAAAGAAAATGTTGCTGTGGATCGGAATATAGACAAATATGTTTTCAAGAGAATAATTAGCAAGTATTGTGATACATTAAGTCTTGTTCATGCATGTTCATACTCATTCAGCTGTGGGTTGCAGAGGTACAGGAATCTGTAGGAAGTATTGAGATGGAATGATTACTTAGAAATAAAAATAATAAAGAGATTGTTTAATGTCCACTTACTTCAGTACTTTCATTTAAGCTCCAGTGTACTGTCTTTTGTTGAGAAGAATTCTGAAGACTATCAAAGTAATAGCAGGAGAACGAACATAGAAAAGCAGAATTCAGAAGGTCTTTTTTTTAAATGGTAGATCTCTTAGCAGTTGAACACAGTTCTAGAAGGTGGACTTAAACATTTTAATTAGATAAAAAATTAAAATATGCCCATAAAGAAGAAGCATCAGTTTTGAATGCTAGATCCAGAAAGTAAATACATCTGTTTACAACATTTCAGCTGCTTGTGAGGGGGAAGATTATGGAAGCAAACTGTCGTTTTCTATTTAATTCTGGAAGACTAAACTATAAGTTTCAGGAAGTAAAACTTACACAGAGAGTTCATAGAAGTATTCAGTGCAATCAAAGTGACTTTTTCCTTGAAATAAAAATAAAAATCATCTGTCAGTGCATGCAATATATGATCTTGATTTATGATCTTATATGTGGCTGCTACTAAAGAAGCTGCTTTTAGTGACAGGTAAAATAAAAATGGCAAAATTCTCTAAATGCTGAGACAGTCAAGGCTTTGTAGCAAGTTGTTCTTTGTGCCACGCAGGGGCAGAAACTGACAGTTCCAGAAGTTGAAATTTGAGACTTCCTGTTGAATGACCTCAAAATCCAGCACTTTGAAAACAAAAGGTTGGGATGTTACATAATTCATCAGTTGACATTTGGTGTTTAGAATTGGTGCTCATGGTTTGACTGGTTGTTATTTAATTTTCAGGAAAAGATTAGTTTCAGGTTTTATTTTGTTTTGTGGCTTCTATTTACTGAAAAGAATTATATATTGTCTACAGCTATTGTTGTCACATGGGGCAAATCTGAGCATGACCACCCAACAAGTCTGAGCTTGTTATCCTAAATCTGCTTGTACTTACTAGAGGGAAACAGGCAGTCTTCAGGCCATGGTTTATTGTAAGTGCTTTTTCAAGTTCCTGCCTTACAATAAGATGAACCACTCCTGATGATCCATCCTTTTGGCTTCAAAGGATTTTGGGTCCTATTCTATGTTAGCCATCCTGTAGGTAGCTTGTCTAAGACACAGACTGTAGATTATTGTCTTTGATATCAGAAGTTAGAAGAGATAAATCCCATCCTACTTGCGCATAGGCTAAGGATTAACACCTTGTCAATTATGTAAATTACAATAGATACAAGAAATGTATTAGTAGACTTTGTGCTGCAAAGTAACAAAGCTCTGGACTATGTAGACAAAGATTTGTACTCGGTGCACTGAGAATCAACATTTTGTTTTTAATCACCCTTTTAGAGACTTTTAAAAAATGGTGGCCAAAACCTGCAGCTTTTGCTCAAACAAGCTCCCAGGATTACACATTTTGTCTTCTAATATAAATTTTGTAGACTAAGTATTTTGCTTGAATTACTGAGGTAATAAAAATATTAATATGCATAAATTGTAATTGTAATAATTTCAATACAGAGATTGTTTCCTTTCTAAAGTACTGTTATTGTTTGAAGTGTTATTTATTTGCAGGAAATGGAGTTTAGTGCTTTGCCCTAACTCCTTATTTGTGCAGTTGAAAAATACTTCCAAAAATACTTTAAAGGGCTTCAAATTTTATTTCCTATTTTTACTGGCAATTTAGAGTTTATGTCGTGAGCATAAATCATTTGCAATCTTTGGATCTTATGAAAAATACACTCAAACAGTTGAAACTAAACTTTCAGTTTTACATGTCTTACTGTTGCTACAGCTGCACTAACATTGACTCGATCATCGTCCAGAAGATTTATGTTGTCAGCAGTCACATTGGAAATCTGTAGCACAGTACACAGTTTTCTAAATGTTTACTATATTAGTTCAAATATTTATAAAGAATTGAAGTCTTATGTATGGTCTTAGAAGTTAGACTATTTATTAGTGTCATAAAGGAGTTATTATTTTTATTTTTTGTACATGCATATAAACTTTACCGTAACATCTGGGATACATTCTGTGAAGACACTGAGCCAAATCAGTTATAAACTGTGTGGTCAGCTAACTACTACTATGCATATTCTGCATGTGAAATGACACAAAATAGTGCTGATTTTAGAACTGCATCTTTTAAAGCATAATTCAGAGACTATTAAATATATCACATATTTTTTAGCAATTAAAAATTAAGCCTAATAGCCAGGATTGGTGAAAAACACGCCAAAGGTTAACTGCAAATAGTCACTTGGATTGTGTTTTAATTTAAATATATTTTTAGTGTACATATGAAGAAAATGTTAAGTAAATTCTGAT